CAGCCGATGTTCGGGACCTGCTTTTGTTTATTTTTGTAAACTGTGAGATGTGCAAAATATTCAAAGACTGAGCACAGTGTGTTCTGTACAGTTCTAGAACTGTGTCCTGCCCAGCTCAGTGGGCATGAGCAGGGTCTTTGTAAATCCCTCCCTAAATCTTCCCGCCTCTGGTCTCTTGGAAGAACCAGGAGCCTTGGAGGTCACGGAGCTTCAGTGTTTTCCTTTATTTTTCTACCTGTGTGCTTCCAACAAGGGCCTTCTGGGTTGGCTTGAGTTGGAGCTTCTCACCGTGCGCAGGGTTAGGTTGGCTTTCTTGGCCAGCCATTCTGGGGTTCAGCTGGCCTTGTGCCCGGAAGGCATTTTCACTGCTGCCCAGTATTTCCCAGGGCCCCTCAGCGCCTTCTCCCCTTGGGTTCGGGGCCAGGGAGGCGGAGGAGGCTGAGCTTTGCAACATCACAGGTGCCTCTGGCCCTGGGTCACTGGCAGCTGCACAGCCCGTGGGGCATCGGGGAGAGCTGGCACAACACTCCTTGGAGGCCAAAAGAGGAAATCCTGATGAACTCCAGGCTTCTCTGGTCCCCCAGCATGTCCTGCTAGGTCCACTTCCCGCTCCTCTCTGTGCGTATAGCTACTAGGGATTTACAGCTGTTTAAATGTGAACTCACCTGTGAGCCTACAGAGTTAAACCCTTACATACTTGTGGATAGGCAAGTCCCACTTAGTAGGTAAAGAGCCTCCTCCTCATCTGCCTCTTCTCATTCATTCGTCCAAGCCAACACATGCCACATGGGAATTTGCAATATGTGGCCCTCCCCCAGGCCTGCCTGCAGTGCTCCCTCTGTCCCAAATCCATCTGCACCCTCTGACCATGCAGCAGCCAGATGATCCTCTCAAAATGAAAGTCACATCAGCCCCACCCCCGGTTTTGTCATTGCATATTACATCCCAAGCACTAAAATAGCACCCAGAGCATAATAGGTGCTCAATAAAGACATAATCCTGTGTTGAGTGGATGGATTTATATTCTTCCTGGTTGGAAGCTGATTCAAGGAGGCAAAAACCCATGGCAAAGGGTTTCTTCTTTACCTTCTCTCACCATGCAGCCTAATTCTAAGACATTTTAAAAAAACTGGGCCTTGAAGAGTAAGAAGGAGCCCTTCCCCGGCTGCAAGACTCCAAGCATCACGTCTCCTCCCAGACAGCAAATCCCCATGTGCTCATGTGAAAATATGAGGCTCCCCAGCTGAATGATTTTCTTGAAAAAAGGTTAAAAGGGGAAGTCTGAAAATGTGGAGGGGACATGGGGGCTTGGTGGGGACCAGGACAGACTAAGAACATTCCCATTTCTCAGGTGTGGGAACCGTTTCTAAGCTCCAGCTAAGTGGAGTCCGAGGTTGCCAGCCTTTCTGAGTTTCCAAGGCCCAAATTCAGGTTTCATCTTGGGCAGCATTGGCTGGCGGCCTGGGCGATAAACTGTTTAATTTAGAAATCAAGGGTTCTAACTTTGCCATCATGGCTCCTGTGAGAGAGGCGTCCTGGCATGGGGATCTGACAGTCTCTTGTCATTACTGGTGGCTTCATATCATAAGACCATGTGGCCTCAACTGAACCATGAGGTGATGAACATCCTCAAGTGAACAGAGGCCCCCAGGGAGAAAGGGAAGTGGCCTTGGCGAGCACTGCAGGCAAACGGCCTCAAGCAGCCCTGAGCCTGGACTCCCAGTGGCTAAGCCATCCTGCAGGGAGTGTCCATTGGGCTGGGCCCACCTACGGCCACTCCTCATCTCGGGGAAGAAAAGCTCTGGCGAGCCTGTGATGAAGCTTCTACCGGGAGACAGACCTGGGCTGGGCACAGCCAGGCCTGTGGACTTCCGAGCTGGGAGTCCATTTGCAAGGACACAGTGTGGATCTTACTGAGGGTCCGCGTCCATCCGGTCGATTTTCTTAGGGTTCTCTCCCCAAGACAGGAATTTCATTTTTCCCAGTTTTATCTGAACTCCCATTTATTCCTATAGGTGCAAAGACACACCATGGTTTGAAAAGCTTGAGAAAAATGAGATTCCCATCATCTTTTGCCATTGCATATTGTCCATAACAAACCATAGCAGACACAGGGACCTGGAGGCGGTCCTAAAACTTGGAGATCAGGGAAGTCATGGTGCACAGCAAGTTTGAATGTGGTTGTGGGGCAGGGAGAACTGTTAAAGACAAAAGGTGGGGGCGGGGATTGCTGCATCCACTCCAACGCAGCAAAGGGCTCTATCTGTGGGAAGCCTATGGGACTGCTGCTGATTGACGCCATTGACACATGAACATGGAACCCAGGGACAGTGTCCAGTGGGAGAAGGCCCCGCATCCCAAACAGACCCTCAGCTCCCTTTCTTCTCTCCCAGCTGTCACCTGAGTCTGGCCACCAACATCATCCCTTGCAACATGATCATAACTGCTCTACCTTTCCTCCCGAAGACTTATCGAAGACATTATTTAAACGTGTCCCCAACGTTCATGCATTGGAAATTTCAGTACCCAATGATGCAGTGTAGGGAGGTGGGACCCAGAGGGAGTGTTTAGGTGGGAGGACTCCACCCCCTCCATAAGAGGGGATTGATTAATGCTGAAGGAAAGGCTCTGAGCTGCAGGGTCCACCTGTTCCTCATCCTCTCTGTGCACATAACAAAGAACAAACAAAAAAGCCAAACAAGATAGACTATTCTTTACTGAGCAGCCCCAGGGACCTCCCCTTACAAAAGCAAATAAACAAAAAAACACTTTCAATGCTCTCAACTCGTTAGAGTCAAAGCCAAATTCTCTGCTGGTCCCAGGCTCCACTTGAGCTACCAACTCTTTCCTGGATGACCTTTCTTCCCCCCAGGTCATTCAGGTCAAAGGCACCCAAGTTCCCTATGGCACCCAACAGGAACACTGCCTTCCTGCCTGAGGTCCGATCACTGGCTGTTCCTGATGCTGGAAACTTATCCCCAGATAAGCTCACTGGTGTCACCTCTTCAAGTCTCAAGTAGAAGTCAGAGAGACAGGGTGACAGAGAGAGAGAGAGAGAGAGGAGAGAGAGAGAGAGAATTTCAATATTTATTCTTCAGTTTTTGGCGTACACAACATCTTTGTTTGTATGTGGTGCTGAGGATCGAACCTGGGCCGCACGCATGCCAGGCGAGCACATGCTACCACTTGAGCCATATCCCCAGCCCTGGCACCCCTATTTAAATGGACACACATCTTCTTCCAAGGATTACACCGCTCCCTGGCTTTCTCTCCATAGAACTCAAAAGTTTTTTTTTTTTTTTTTGGTGTTGTTTGTCCCTTAATCAGGGATTGAATTTAGGGGTGCCGAACTACTGAGCCACATCCCCAGCCCTTTTTTGTTTATTTGGAGACAGACTCTGGCTAAGTTTCTTAGGGACTCACAAAAAATTGCTGAGATTGACCACCCACTTGTGATCCTCCTGCATGGACCTCCCACGTCGCTGGAGGCGCGCACCACTGCGCCCGGCTCAGTGCCTTTTTTTGCACAGATTCTACGCAGTACACGCCCCGCTGCACAATGTCGGCAAGGACACTCCCGGATACACCGTGTGGACTACGGCAGCTGTCCGACCACCGCACTGTCACGCCCTCCTGTCCCCCACCCGCTATCGGTGCACGCCACGCCGCAGGCGCCCAATAAGCGTCCGCACAGGAGCGCACCAGCAGCCGAGCCCCGGGAGCTGCCCGCACCGCCGGGCCGCAGGTGTGGGCGGGCGGCGGCCTAGCGCGCCTGCGCCCAGCACTCCTTTCCCAGGCGCGGCTCGGCGGAGGGTTACAGCGGTGGGCGTGGCCTGTCCTGGGAGGGGCCCTCGGGGGCGTGGTCTCGCGGGTGTCCCGCGGGTGGCCGCAGCAGCGCCGGCTCAGTCTTGCCGCCCGCAGCGCCGTGCGACTTCGTCCCCGCCACAGCCCTCGCAGCCATGTCCAGGCAGGCGCGCCCCGGGCGCGAGGAGATCATGGAGTGCCAGGTGATGTGGGAGCCTGACAGCAAGAGGGACACGCAGATGGACCGCTTCCGGGCGGCCGTGGGCGCCGCCTGCGGCCTGGCGCTGGGTGAGTGCGGGGCGCGGGCACCGGCCACCCCAGGGCCCTCCGGAAGAGGGTCTCTGGGGTCCCGGGACCAACCGGGCGGAGGGAGGGTCTCTCCTCCTGGGCAGGGCGTGCCCTTTTCCAAGGGCGTGGCGGTCCCGGCCCCTCCTTGCGGTTGGGATGCGCTCTTGAGGTCCAGTGTCCCGCTGCTGCGATCGGAGGAGCAACCGGACGCAGGGACCTTTCCTGGGGGTGGCGTCCTCCGGCCGCGGGGCGTGCTCCTGTCCCTGGGGAGCAGCACCCCTGCTGTCACGGTGCCACGCGTCTCCTGACCAGCATCTCCTGGCACGTGGGTCGGCCTCTCCCGGGAGGGTCACTCCTCTGGCGGTGACAGCCTCCTGTTGGCTGAGGTCCCTTGCCGGGTTTTCTACTTGTTCGGTGCTCCTCTGGAGTCTCGGCTTCCAGCCTGTAGGGGCTCTTCCCTGCTGTACTGTTGGTGGGGTCCGGTGTCAACCCCCTCTGATTTCCAAGCCGCCTTTACTAGAGGCCAGCATGGATTCCCTAGCACCCAGTGGGATGTGCCATAGCAGCCTACCTTTGGGAAGAGGGTAGAATCCCTTCCTCTTATGTTTAAACTCCCAGCCCCCAAACACATCCTCCTTCCAGCCATCATTTGGCTCTCAGAAGCCCCTGTCTGATGTGCATGGATAGAGGTCCCTCTTTTGGGTGAGGGACTTCTGCTCCTTCCTGGGCACTCATTGGCTTGGCTTGTGCAGCTGCCTGCTCCTGATGGCCCTGGGTGTCCTCAGGGATTTTTAACTCATCTTTGGCCTTCTCCCCCCACTCCCACCTCCTCAGCTGCAGGGTCTCCCTCATGTCTGTTAGTGACATCGCTCTCCTGGTCAGCTTCACAAAAATGCAGCGGGGTCATTGGCCCTGCAGCCTGGAGCCTCCCTCCCCAGCATGGCTTTCCTGAAGCCTGGAGCCAGCCCTCTCCTGGCAGCCTCCTCCCCTCCTCTCTGAGCCGTGGCTGCTCTTCCTGCTTCCTGCTCCCGGCCTCCCTGCTCAGCACACCCTGCCTGCTTTGCCAGAATGATCCTGAAGCACAGGTCTCACTTTGTCACTCCTTGGCCCAGAAACTCTTCATGGTTCCTTGTTGATCTTGGGACCGCACACTGCTCCTGGCAGCTCCCAGGTTCCCCTTAGCTTGGTGGCCCTTGCACAGGGTCCCTTTCCTTGCCCAACCCAGCTCCATCCCACCCCCCCCTCACTTGGACAGGGTGTGTTTCTTACCACTTTCAGGCTTCTAGGCTGTGGGTGGACTTGACCTCAGGGGGAGCCAGCAGGCTGTGTTGGGGAGTTACTTCATTTTTCTGTGTCCCCTTTCATTTCGTCTGTTTCTTCTGCCAGCGTTATCTAATACTGATTCCCTGGTAGCTTTACAACACAGTTTCATACAGGGGCAGCCCTGGGAGTGGGCAAAACCTCCTTGCTCCTAGCAAGTGGTGAAGAGAGGGACCTGTAACCTGACTACCTGCATTTTTAACTGACTGCACTTGGTAGCCATGTGACCTGGAGGAAGTCATCAGTTAGCCCAAGCTGTTTCCTCAGGGTCTGTGGCACTGAGTGCGTGTGAGGGTGCCAGGAGATGGTCAGGTCCAGGTGCAACTCTGCTCCTGGCCTGTGGGTTGCTAGGCAGACATCGGCCGGCACTGGTGGCTCCCAGTTTTTCCCTCTGTCCAGGCTCTTGGACTGTTGGCCCCTGGGTCAGATTTGACCTGAAGATGTGGTGTTGAGCTTCCAGCTTTTAAAAGTTGGAAGGCTAAAAAAAAAAAAAAAAAAAAAAAAAAAGTTGGAAGGCTGCATATGAAAAGCAAGCTTCCTAGCTCCTGAAACCCCAGGGCCTGCAGCGCTGGTCTGCACCTACCTGGTGCTTCAGTGGGAGCAGCGTGGAGCTCCCTGTGGTCTGGACAGGGAAGGGTCCATGCTATTTGACTCTTTCCTCCTCTGGGGCACACTTCAGGTGATGTGTCCACCTGCTTCTCTCTTTTCACATGCTGGCTCCTGGAGGTTTGGGGCTTTGCCTTAAGGTCTAACTCAAAGGCCATCTTTCCTTTGAATATTTTCTCCTTTCCTCTGCTCTCCAGGTGCATGTGATCTGGGCTTTGGTCCTGCTCGTCTGCTCCTGCATTTGTGGGCATTCTTACTGCTGCACAGCAGCCCTCCTGCTGCGGCTCCTCACAGCTGGCACAGCCTGGAGTGTGCCACTGAGTGGCTCTGTGCAGAGCTCTGTGTCCCCAGCTGCCCCAGCCCTGGACTGTGCAGGGAGGAAGGGGCCTTCTCCACCCTGGCTGCCTCTCCTTGCACCTTGGGCAGGAGATTTTCTTTTTCTTTTTTTGGTCCTGGGGACCAAACCATGGGCCTCACTATGATGGGCAAGCACTCTACCACTGGCTCCATCCCCAGATTTTATTTTGAAATAGAACCTTGCCAAGTTGCCAAGGCTGGCTTCACACTTGTGATCCCCCTGCCTCAGCCTCCTGAGTTGTGGGAACAGGCTGGCCACTGTACCATTGTGCCAGTGGTGGGAGATTGCTGTCCCTGGATTTCCGGAGGTGCAGGGCCTTGGTGAAGTCATCTGCTTCCTTTCCACGACTGCTCCCAGCCAGCTTGCCGGAGGCTCCCTGCGCAGCCACGTGGGGCTCAGGGTCCCCTGATGCGAACTTCCTCAGATGTGGCCTGCAGCTCCAGCCCAACTTGTGCATGTGATCCTTTTTTGCAAGGCCCCAGGGGACATTCTGCATGTGCCACTTTCTCTAATTAGGGACCAGGGTCACAGTACAAGTTTCAAAGGATATGCTGCTCTTTTGGTGCGCTGCACCCTGTGTCCTGTGTCCTGTGAGCTGGAGGACACCTCTTTGTGTGCATGACCAGGATAGATTCTGCCGACAGGAAGCTTGGTGGCCGTTGTCACAGCTCGGCTGCCACGGGGAGAGAGCCTGTGGGCTTCACATGAACGTCAGGTAGCCTGCGGTTGAGTTCCTACTGTGCACCCATTTAGCAGAGTGCTGCTTAAAAGGGTGATGGCGTTTGGCGCAAGCAGTGCACTTTTTATCCCTCACTGCCACACATCACCCAGTCCTTGGTGACTTGAAACCCCACCTGTGCTTGGGACTTGAGGAGCTGCTCAGTGGGGTGATTCTGGCCTGGGGTCTCAGGAGCCACAGGTGTCCCAAGGCCTGACGCGGAGGAGCTGCGTGGCTCCCTCCACGCGGGAACTTGGTGCTGGCTGTGGGCAGAGGCCACTTGGGTGTCCTCCTGGCATGGCTGCAGGCTTCTCCCAAACCAGGGGTAGAAGCTCAAGTGTCTCTTAAGCTGTCATTTCCACGCTGCCCCGTTGGTCACACAGCTCGGCCTGCTCACGCTGGGGAGGGGACCGTTCCAGCGGTGGCAGCGCCTGGGTAGGTGTTGGTGGCTGCCTACTAGGGTCACATACTCCCTTTCTCAGGAGAAGCCCACATTCAGAATTTCATTTAAAACATCAGGTTTTGAGGTGTTTTAGCAACTAGTTCCAGTTCTTGTGAGCAGGTGCCCGAGGCCACCTGGCTTCATGTTGCAACTCCGCATTGGGGCCCATGGTCCTCCAGGTTAAAGTATCACTGTGACCACCTGGTCCCCAGATACCCAGTGCCGTTACATTTTGTTCCCTGGTGACGCTGCTGGCGGATGCCCCTTTGCGATGGGCCCAGGGCCTTCTCTGGAGGCCTGGACTTCCACCCTCTGCCTGTCTCATGTCAGGGGGGGAAGTTTTTGCAGCTGGAACGCCGCTGTGCTTGAGGATCAAAAAACCAAACCCCAAACAGACCTAGGGCGGAGGAGCTGCAGGTCCTGTTCAGCCAGTGCCACTTCCCACGGGTGCCAGGGCCACCTCTCTGAGAAGCACCTGGACTTCCTCCCTCTCGACCAAGGAGCAAGGAGCCATCTTCCTGCTAATTAGCACTTTCCTGGGCCGTGCCTCCCGTCTGCACGGGCTGGCTGGGTGTGCCACCTCCCTGCAGATGGTGGGGTGATGCCAGGTCACACCTTTGGGCACCCTCTCTCTGCTGAGCACAGTCCCAAGCAGTTCCTGTGTTCTGACTCAGTGACCCTAGGATAGGTACCATTATCCTCCTCTTATGGAAGAGACAACTGAGGCACAGAGAAGTAATATGTCAGGGTTACCCCATTAGAGTGGCAGGATTCAAACCCAGTTGAACTTAGGAGCCTGTCCCCAGAGGGTCCTCACCACAACCC